CGAGGGCTTCTTTTTCAACCGTGGGCGCAAGCCTGCTCGATTTGCTGAGCCTCCGTAGTTTGCTGGTGTAGCCGCCGCTACGAGTTGTGCTTTCTGCGGCATCCTAACCGAGGCTTGGACTCCGAAAAGAAAACGGACACTCGCCCCGTCGTAAATGCCCCTTTGCCTTTGTTTTATCTCCAGTACGAAGCTAAATTTTTTTAATCTACTTCTGCAGAAAAGTTTTAATTGTTAAGCAGCAGAGTTGCTAAATACAGTTTTAAGTAGGCTTTTATTGGAGTTAATCGGGTTTGTTTGGATGTTAATGCCAGAGAGGTGAAGCTACAGTTACAGAGAAGCTCAGATAATAGAGGACCTTAAGTAACGCATTGATGTAACTAAAGCCCGTCCATAGAGGAGGGAGAACTTGGCTTCTTGATTAATATACCAGCCATTCAAAAATGGAAGGGATACCGATTGAGCTCCTCTGGTTTACTGTTGTAAGTCCTTTCCTGCGGGTTGATGCTAGGACTGAGTGAGAAAAGACTAAGTTTAGGGGTGTGTTTGAGCTTGTCACCGAAATCCTATGTCGTTCAGCCCTGGTTTGTGTTTTCATAGCCAGTAGCTCTAGGAATGAAAACATGCTGGAATTTTATGGATTACAAGTATTGCATGACAATTTGTATAATTGGCATTTCTAAAATTAACCAAGCTCAGAGCCATATTGTATTTCTAACTAAGATAAGCGTGTGTGTGTGTGTGTGTGTGTGTGTGTGTGTGTGTGTACATAAATGTATGTACTAGCTAAGCACTAATTCTTTATATCTCTTATTAAGTAACCATTTTTATGCTACTATTCGTGGGTCTGGTCGAATTTACCAGTCTGATCTTTGTGCCAGGAGTATTTTAAGTGCTCTAAGTAAGGAAACATGAAATTTATCTTACTAGTAGAGGGGAATATTTAATTCAAAATATGCAGTGCTTTCTATTTTCCAAGTGTCTAACTGTCCTTAGAGGAGGGTCTGAGTCCAGTAGACTCAGTGACAGATTAATGGTGGCCTTGTTCTTTTAGGAAAGAATGTATTTAGCTATGGTTTTACATAGCCTTAGGTACTCTTAAAACAATAAAACCCTTATTTTCACTTATTAGAATATACATAAAATTTGTTTGATTGTGTGGGTTTCTAGAGACTAAATGTGTATACTCATCGCACGGGTTACAAATGGTTCATGTTCTAGTCCACAGGCACACTGATCTTTTCTGAATTGTATTGATTTTTCTTGTGAGAATATATACAATAAACATACACTAGTTTGACAGTTTCTGCCTATATAATTTAGTGATAATGATTATATTCTAACAATTGCATAATTGTTTCTGCTCTTTACAGCTCCTGCCTGATCTATGAGTTTCTCCTAGTCAGTCTGATCCCATATGGATAGCTCTTAAAAGCATGATGCTCTAGGCAGAACTTTGTTATACTAGTTAAAGTTAAACTACCATTCTGGTTTTAAAGATTTCAGGGGACATTTCTGGTTTAAGGGTTAAAGATTATCTCAGGGCAATAGTTTCAGCCTCTATGTTTAAATAAATCTAGAGTCTGTTTACACTTTCTCCCTTTTGATCATATTCTATGGAATCCTGTTCTGATCTCATGACAAAGAAGGTAGTTGTTCATGAAGCCATTAGCCACATATTTCATTCTCCAACTCCTATTGATGGTCGTTGTTCCAACTAGAACACTTTTGGAAAACCATGTATAGTTATCTTTACGCTCATATTGTAAGGAAGTAAACTTTGTTAGGAAATATTTATGATTTAGTAACCTGTCAGCATGCTGTTAATCTTAATGAAAAAGCCATTCACAAAAACAAGACATCACTTGTCTGCAGTTTTCTGCTCAAAGAAAGTAGTGACAGCTTGGAATTTTACTGGAGAGTGTATTTTCTGGCCAAATTACATTTTGACCTCTAAACATTGTGTGTATTCAAATGTGGGATCAGTTACCAATGTGTTTACCTAGAGTGTTTATTATGGATTTGATCAGAAATTTAGGTCGATTGAGTAAAAGATTTAAGTCTGTTATAAAACACAGTTGACAAATACAGTAGGATTTGAGAAGAGAGACAACAGCAGTATGCCACTGTTGGGGGCTAACAGCTATGAACAACAAACAAAAATGCACTGCCTTAGTCATTCTGCTCATCCTGGCTCTGTAGGACAGAACAGAACTGCCCTTTTGGGTTTCCAAGGTAGTAATCTTTGTGGGAATGGAGTCTTCATTGTTTTTCTCCATGCAGGGGGTACTGGTGGTGTAAACCACCAACCTTGTGGTTAGCAGCCCACTGCATAACCCACTGGGCCATGAGAGCTCCTTAGCAACAATGAAGCATCTATAACTTTGTGTCACTGAAAGTGTTAGATCTTGGGGAGAAACACTTGGAGTGTAGAACTATTGAAATGGACTAATCTTATAGTGTGATGAGATTGGATATCTGGGCATTTGCATAAAGGGCAGTTCTCTAGCATACTTGCACACACCCTAATTTGAGGGGGGGTGGCATTCCCAGGTAAGCCTTGGACAGTGAACTCCAAATCCACCAGCCACTCTACAAGGTGGAGCGTTGGCTGTTGGCTCCCATAAAAGATCCACAGCCTCAGAAACCCTATATAGTCATGAGTCATATTTGACTCCAAGGCAGTGGGTTGAACTGTGCATCTAAAGAAAGTTAATATTTTTTTATCTTAAAAAGCCCATTTGTAGAGTTAATTTCCCTAAAAGATCTTTGATGCTGAAAGACTTGTCTTCTTTAAAGTACTTTTTCATTCATGTCAATATTTTAAAGGCCAAATAATCATTGTGTTTTCAAATAAATTTTGCTGTGTATGTAGAAGCTAGAACTTGATTGCCATATA